AGGGCAATAAAGTGAGACTCTGTCTCAAAAATAAAAAAAAAGAAAAATGCCAGTAGACAATCTAATACATACCCACATTAAGTGAAAACCTCAAATCAATTCAAGGTATGGGGCAGGGAATGAGGGAGTAGGAGAGGGGAGGAAGGGGGATTACACTATATGGCACAATCTTTTGGGGAGGGACACAACTATAAGTGGGACTTTACTTAACAAATTCCAGCTCTGCACCTATGGCTCAAGTGGCTAAGGCGCTAGCCACATACACCTAAGGTGGCAGGTTCGAATCTAGCCCAGGCCCGCCAAAACAATAATGGCTGCAACCGAAAAATAGCCAGGCATTGTGGCGGGTGCCTGTGGTCCCAGCTACTTCGGAGGCTGAGGCAGGAGACTCGTTTTAGCCCAGGAGTTGGAGGTTGCTGTGAGCTGTGATGCCATAGCACTCTACCCAGAGTGATAGCTTGAGGCTGTCTCAAAAACAAAACAAAACAAATGCCAACAGTGTGGGTGGCGTTGGTAGCACAGTAGTTACAATACTGACCATGTGCACCAAGGGTGGCGGGTTCGAACCCAGCCTGGGCCAGCTAAACATCAATGACAACTGCAACAAAAAAATTAGCTGGGCATTGTGGCAGGCTCCTGTGGTCCCAGCTTGGTAGGCTCAGGCAGGAGAATCGCTTAAGCCCAAAAATAGTTTGAGGTTGCTGTGAGTTGTGATGCCATAGCACTCTACCAAGGGCGACATAATGAGACTATGTCTCAAAAAAAAAAAAAATGCAAACAGTGACCTAATTCTTTGTACCCTCAATGAATCTGAAACAATAAAGAAAGAAAGAGTTAGAAAAACTAAAAAAAAACCCAAAAAACAAAAACAGAGACAGAGATGCTCCAAGGGGAAAGCCCAGAGGGCCCCCCAGGGCTTGGATCCTTTTGCTTGATCTAGTTGCAGGCCATATAGATACACACTTAAGACAGTGAGCTTGCCCAGGTGTTTAAGTTACACCTCAAAAAAAAAAAAAAAAAAAAAAGAGGAGACTCAGAACACAAATTCCTTCAAAGTGTCCTAGGACAGGAGTTAAGTGCTCAGGATCCAAATCTAGCCTGCAGCCTGTTTTTTGCCTGTCCCTCAGGCTAAGAACACATTTACATAAATGGGCACCGGTTATCTTCAGATCTGCACAGCACCTGGCCCTTTACAGAAATAAAGTCTGCTAATCTCAGTTCCAAGAAAACAAGAGGCTGTAAAGGACTTGAGTTTTCAGGTGATTTTTTTACTTCCTGAATTACATTTTTTTTGTTTTTTTTCTTGAGACAGTCTCACTATGTCCCTCTCAGTAGAGTGCCATGGCATCACAGCTCACTGCAACCTCAAATTCTTGGGCTTAAGCGATTCTCTTGCCTCATCCTCCCAAGTAGCTGGGAATACAGGCCCCTGTGACACCTGGCTATTTTTTGTTGCAGTTGTCATTGTTTAGCTGGCCTTGGCTGGGTTCAAACCCACCAGCCTCTGTCTAAGTGGCTGACGCTGTAACCACTGTGCTATAGGCTCTAAACTTACATGTTTTTTTAATTGTTATTTCTTTCTTTCATTTTTTGATACAGAGCCCTGGGTAGAATGCTATGGCCTCGTAGCTCACAGCAACCTCTAACTTCTGGGCTCAAGCCATCCTCTTGCCTCAGCCTCCCAAGTAGCTGGGACTACAGGTGGCCGCCACAATGCAGGAGTTGCTATTTTTTGTCACTCTTGCTCAGGCTGGTCTCCAACTCATGAGCTCAGGCAATCCACCTAAGGAAGCCTTGGCCTCCCAGAGTGCTAGGATTACAGGAGTAAGCCACTGGGCCTGGTCTAGATTATTATTATTTTTTTAAATTAAAGCATAATTTTCATAACATACACAGGTTTTAAATGTAAAGTTTGATGAATTAAGGAAAATGTATTCCTTAAATTACGTTTTAAATTTTGAATTTTTCTGTTAACTCTCAGTGCTAAGCAGGAGTGCCTTTTATATTTTTATGTGTTGACCTGAGTAACAAAATTTAAAGTGTTACTAAAACATCTGCAAGCCTTAAGAATATGGAAGCCCTGGACACCTGAAAGTGGGGGCTACCAGCGAGGAACCAATGCGAAGAACATCTTATAAATTCCCTCGAGATTCCAGGTTTCGTCCCAGCCTTCCTCTGGGTGACTCCTAGGAGGGAGGGGTTGCAGTCTCTCTCGGGCCTTAGTTTCCCCACCTGTGAAACCCAAGGGTAGCCGAGGGCTAGATCACACGCTCCACTAACCTCACTTTAACCCAGTGTAAAACAGGAATAATTAACGGGACCTATCTCCTGGTCTGTTACGAAAGGAAGCAAAGAGCTTAGTAAGTGGTCGACAAATTGCCGTTATTCTTATTGTTGTTACTTAACAATAACGTATTGTCCTTACTGGAGACTCCCGGGCTTAGCTTCCTGTAACACAGAGGGAGAAACTGAGGCCCGCTTGGGTCTCCGGCGCCCCGCTCCCACCGCAGCGCACCGAAGTCCTAGACCTTGGAATCTCAGCGTAGAGCGACACTGACCAGACAATCCTCGACGGGGCAGGTTCCTCTTGTAGTCGATGGGGCCATAGCCCCCGGGAGGAGGCATGTCCTGCTTCACCTTCGAAGCCGCCATACTCGTAAGACGCCACACTTCCGGACGCGGAAGGAAGTGACGTAAAGCGATCGCCATGACTAGTGTGGCGGAATCACGCGCAAAGCTCTCCTTTGCTGGGGATCTGGGGCGTTGGTGTGGTTACCCTATGGCTCGGGAAAGTTGGGGTGGCTTGACCCAAGGGCCAAAGAGGGCCGAAGAGTCCTTATCTCCTACTCCCGCAGATAGGATTATGATTCAGTCTCAAGGGAGCCTTGGTCCTTGCACTAAAAAAAGCTCTCGGTTTCACCTTCCCTCGGGGGTGATATATAAGCTATTAAGAAACTGGAGGCTCACAGAGAGAGCCAGATTCCCTAGTTATGTTCCCTTTTTCCTTTTTCCGCCCCTCACCCTCGGGGGGCTCTGCGGGAAGCCCAAAGCTCCACATAGTCACCAGCTAGGTACATGAAGTTGAGGGACAGCTGCTGCTCAAATTCGGACTCACAAGGAGGTACCACAATCCCAGGAACGGATTGTGCTCTCCTGTGATGGTCGGAACCCCTTTGCTAGTTGCCTCTCATCAGAAACTGACCATTCAGGGCAATTATGAGTCACAAAGCACGAAAGGCTTGGCGGCCTCGTGGACCTCCCCGCCCCCAGACGCTGAGTGACGCCCACGGTCACTTCACAAGGCAGAAATTGTTACACAGGTAATAAAAGGCAACGCGGCGGCCGGGACCTGGGAGTGGGCACATGGGGGTGCGGGTGTGCAGGTGCCAAGCGCCATGGGTTAGGCCCGAGATCGGAGTCCGGCCGCCCCCCGACAGCAGCCGCCTCCTGCTCCCCCCGCGCCCCATGCGCCACCATGTCGGGCGACAAACTCCTGAGCGAACTCGGCTATAAGCTGGGCCGCACGATCGGAGAGGGCAGTTACTCCAAGGTGAAGGTGGCCACGTCCAAAAAGTACAAAGGTACGGTGGCCATCAAGGTAGTGGACCGGCGGCGTGCGCCGCCGGACTTTGTCAACAAGTTCCTGCCGCGTGAGCTGTCCATCCTGCGGGGCGTGCGGCACCCGCACATTGTGCACGTCTTCGAGTTCATCGAGGTGTGCAATGGGAAGCTGTACATCGTGATGGAAGCCGCCGCCACCGACCTGCTGCAGGCGGTGCAGCGCAATGGGCGCATTCCCGGGGCGCAGGCGCGCGATCTCTTCGCGCAGATAGCCGGCGCGGTGCGCTACCTGCACGATCATCATCTGGTGCACCGCGACCTTAAGTGCGAAAACGTTCTGCTGAGCCCTGACGAGCGCCGCGTCAAGCTCACTGACTTTGGCTTTGGCCGCCAAGCGCATGGCTACCCAGACTTGAGCACCACCTACTGTGGCTCAGCCGCCTACGCATCACCCGAGGTGCTCCTGGGCATCCCCTACGATCCCAAGAAGTATGACGTGTGGAGCTTGGGCGTCGTGCTCTACGTCATGGTCACCGGGTGCATGCCGTTCGACGACTCGGACATCGCCGGCCTGCCCCGGCGCCAGAAGCGTGGCGTCCTCTACCCCGACGGCTTAGAGCTCTCTGAGCGCTGCAAGGCCCTGATCGCCGAGCTGTTGCAGTTTAGCCCGTCGGCCAGGCCCTCTGCAGGCCAGGTAACACGCAACAGCTGGCTCCGAGGGGGAGACTCCGGCTAGAAGCCGAGGTTCCCGCCATTCCCACCGCCCGGAGCACTAAGCCAGCGCAGCGCACGCGCGAGAGGCGGCTTCCGAGAACCCTCGAAGCTGCCGCGCGGTGCGCGCACGCGTCCTCTCCCTTCCCTTCCCCACCAGGGTGGGGGCCACAGTTGCCCCTGTTCAGAATCTAGACCCTCCGCGATCCTGAGAGCTGGAGGGCGCACGCGCAACTTCGATTCCCGGCGAGAAAACCCCAGGAGGGGCGGCTCGGGAGGAGACGGAAGCATTGCGCCTGCGTGGAATGAGCGACGGCTAGGAGGCGGGAGTTGGCTGCCTGGGAATTCGGTTGGCTAGCGGATGTTCGCTGAGGGCTGCCCTATCCAGTCAGCCGCTGATGTCGGGTTCCCGGTTGGAACCTGCAATAAACTCGCTCTTCCTCGCACCTGGCTCTGGCGGTGGCTCCTTTTATGGAGGAGCGGGGAAGGGATCGCTCCCCTGGGGGAAGGGGGGCACGGTGTCCCATTTTAGAGTCAGGCATGTTGTTCTTGCTCCAGGACTCAAGAGGAAGTTGGGAGGATTCAAATCCGGATCTGTTGTATTTAATGGATAGAACAGCGGGAGGGGGGGACCTATCTGTGTTACTGTACACTGAGCATTTATAGATGGGGAAACTGAGGCCCATACGGATGTCACTTGCCCAAAGGCAAAGCAATGATTTGAACCCAGATCTAGCTGAAATGGGGTCGGGGTGGTGGAAGCCCTCCTTTCTGAGGGCCCCTCTGCTCTGGATAAGAGTATGGGGAGAGTCGGGATTGGGCATGAGTTAGCCCGTAGACTTGTCCATTCAATCCTGTGTTCATGTACTGTTTTTTTTTTTTTTTTTTGAGACAGTCTCACTGTTGCACAAGGTTGAGTGCTGTAGCATCAAGGTTCACAGCAACCTCCATCTGTTGGACTTATGTGATTCTCTTGCCTTAGCCTCCAGGTAACTGAGACTACAGGTGCCTGCCACAATGCTGGGCTATTTTTGTTGTTGTTATCGTTTAGCAGGCCTAGGCCGAGTTTGAACCCACCAGCCCTGGTGTATGTGGCTGGCGCCTAACCACTGAGCTATGGGCGCCAAGCTGAGTCATTCATTTCTTGAACACCTGCTGTGTACCAGGCCCTGGAACTCAGTGAAAATACTTGGGCCCATCCCTACCCTCAACGAGGAGAAAAGTGAAAAGTCAATAAAAGAATGATGTGTAAAGTAAATAATTGTAAGTTGTGCTAAATGCCAGGTGGGGGTGGGGAGGGTTCGAGGAGAGAGGTCAAAGGTGAGACATTTGAGCTGATCCTTGAAGGAGTCAGCCATTGGAAACTGCAGAGAAAAAGCGTTCATAAGAAAGAACAGTGCTGGTGTGTTTGTAAGGCCAGGAAGCTCCTATGTCTCGGATAGAAAGGGAGGAAGAGGAAGCAGAGGGGTAAAGGTGTATGGTGGGGGGACGAGAGAAAACCTGACCCTTCTGGCTTACAAGAGAAAGGCACCTCTTTGTGCCTCTGACTCCCTACCTGGAAAATGGGATCCAGGACGCCATGCTCAGGGCTATTGGGACAGAGCATGGCTCACTTGGAGGACTGAGCCCAGATCCTTCCCAAGGCTCCTACTGCTTTTAGAATAAAACCCAAACCCTCCCCTTTCCTCCCCTCCACCATGTCCAACTATACTGCCATGCTTGGTTCCAGGGTCCTCACACTGACACTTTTCTCCTCTCCATTCTAGATTTGGCTTAAAAACGTAACTTTGTCCCCAATAACCTGTTCTTTTCCTCCTTGCCCTCCTCAAAAAGTGCCATGATGTGTTTGTTTCTGTCTGGAAAGCTACTTCCACATCTTCAGGGCTCTGGGACTTCAGGGCTTTTAACCACTGACAAAAATCTCAATTCAGTGGGGACAGGTCTGAGGGACAAAGATAGTCATCCCATTTCCAACTGGAAAAGCTACCTGAGCCCATGACCCAGGACTGGCACCCAGATTCCCTCCATCCCCCACCCCAGGCCAAGGAAACACACAGGCTTGCCTGAAGGCCATGCCAGTCTGGGTATGTTAAGGGTGAAGCAGGATAGGCTCAGGTTCAATTTCTGCAGTGTCCTCTACCAGCTCTGTGCCTTAGCTAGGTGAGACTAAGCACAACTTAGCTGTGGGAAGGGCCATCAGCCCCCAGGCTAGAGGCAGGGATGCCCAAAACACAATGAACAGAAAGTACCTGGGAAAACAGGGTCACATATTATTATGCACACTGGAATTCACCAGTGATCCCAGGTCTCATCTTATGAATAAAATTTAAAACTGTCAGTATCATCACTTCTTTGGCTAAGATAAGTGCAAAATTGTTAATATCTGAAAACAAATATTGACCATTTCACAAAGGAAATCTTTCATTTTGGAGGCAGTATGGTGAATCCATCTGTTTAGAACTCATATTAATACCACATCTTGCAGCAAATAACCATTGAGGTGCCAGGCCTGAAAACTGCTCCAGGAAAACACCACACCAGTCTGGTGTAATAAGAGATGGGCAACCCCCCCCCTCCCCCCAAACAAAGCCCTGGTTCCAGTAGCAGCCCAGAGCAGAGGGACTCCAGCCCAGGGAGTGGGGGAGTTCCAAATCAAGCCCCAGAATCAGGTGCACCCCATCCTTTGCTTCCCTGTTAACAAAGAGTCACCCTCCACTTTTTCTCCAAGCTGCCCCTGAAGCTAGTTCAAAATGAAACAGGAAAACCAGGGCTCAGGGGACAAAAGAAAAATCCAGTCCATATATCAGCCATTTCTTTATTATCCTTCAGTCTAAAACTTCCTTATGATACAATGTGTAGCCACTGATTCCAGTCTCTCTGTTTATTGGAACTTCTGTTCTTGTGACAATTTTCTTTTTTTACATGTTTTATTATCAAAGATTTAGAGTCACAATAAATACAAATGACAGCCTCCCCTGCCTCCAGCCCCCTCTCTCCCCAAATACCCTGCACTAGTGTAACCATCTATTACACTTGCTTTGTTAAGGATTATAAAATTGTTAGCTGTTTCTTTAGAAAAAGCTCAATCTAAGTTATCTAGGTTAACTTCATATGCAGCATTAACTCGGCATCAAAGAAAAACCCTATGCAGGAGCAGCAAGGACCATCCTTTGCATTATGGATACCCCTGTGATGAGAATACATAGAAAATTCTCCCATGTCCTTCTGTCCTGGGAGAGTGGAATATGGAACTTGGGAGCAACAAGGTACAGGAGGGCTGGACTAGATTACCTCACTCCCTCTGCCCTGGTGCAATTTTTTGCTTCACTAAAGTCCTTTAAGCACAGATAGGACCAGAAGATGCTCTGGGTGCTGCCTGTCCAATCCCAAGAGAAGGGCCATTCTGGACCTGGTCAGAGGTGTGGTTTCTGATGTCACTGTGGAGTCCCTAGGATGAGATTAGGGTGGTTTGAACAACAAGTGACTCCAAATGGACACTCAAGCCATTTCAATCCCGTCCCCCACCCCTCAAATGGGATGAGTGAGCTCTGACATTTTCTCACCCCAGTCCAGAGTGGCCAACACTAAGAAGTTTCCATTTGCTGTTGGGGGCTTCCAAGCACAGGTAACAGGTGAGTTATAATCATCACTAGAAATGGGGGCTCTCACATTCTTAGAACTGGCAGGAGCCAGATCTTGGCAGGGCTCTGGGGGGACAATGGAACCCCTGCATACTGGCACCTGGCCAAGAAGTGTCTGGGTTTTGAGGGTGTGCTTTGTTGATGGTAGAACCCCCTTAACATCAATAAATACCCTTTCCTGGCTTGTCCAAAACCCCACACCCATAGAGGTACTTAATAATGCCTTCACCTGTAACAACAAAATTCATCATAGAACCACCCACTTGGGGCTTATAGAAGTTACACTGGAAAGGGGGAACTAAAGCGAAAAATGGGGTAGATTTGAGATAGTAGAAATGAAGGAAAAGATTAAGGCATCTCACATTCTTGCCCCATTAAAAAAAAGTTATATAAATTTCACAGTAGTCTGTGATGGGAATTAACATCCCTGGGGACATGGGGCTGGAAGTTATAGAGCCAGCCAGGGCCCCAGCCAGCCATCCCTGTTCCTTCAAGGGGGAACCATCTATACCAGTGGTTCTCAGTCTTCCTAATGCTTCCTAATGCCACAACCTTTTAATACAGTTTATGTTGTGGTGACCCCAACCACAAAATTATTTTCGTTGCTACTTCGTAACTATAATTTTGACACTGTTACAAATCATAATGTAAATATCTGATATGCAGGATGTATTTTCATTGTTATAAAGGGGTCGTGACCCACAGGTTGAGAAGCACTGAACTCACACACTGGCAACCAAACGCTCTAGAGGAACAGCTCAGCCAGGTTGGGAGAACCTGGGAAGCTGGAACTTAGAGGCCTGCTCAGGGACCTTTTGTAACAGACCCAGTCCTCTCAAGCTGTGGCAAGCAGAGGAGACTTTGTCCTGGATGCCTGATCCGGAGTCATTGCATAGAACTGAGGTTTGCACACCAGGGAAGGCTTTTAAAGGGACAAAAGCAGCCCAGACACTCCTTCTGGAAGGAGTTGGAAGATTTGGCCTGTGTCATCAAACAGAGAGGGCTAAGAGCTTAGGGTCGTATAAGACAAGTATTTATTTGCCAGGCACACAGAAAAATGCGAGGAATAGAAATGCTTGCATACTCTTGATTTTTTTTTTTTTTGGTGTAAAAACACACCCTTCCCTCCCTCCAAAACATTAATTTCCCTCCTTACCCCAAATCCCTGGATCTTGGAATGAAAACCACCCTTCTCCACCCTCCCCTCACCTCTTTCAGCTCACCTAAGTTATGCACTTAGAACAAAAATCAGTGAGAAATTCAGGGGTTTGCACAACAAAAAAGAACATTTTCCAAAACTAGGCTTTCTACTGCATGTCAAAAATGCTTTCTAAAGACTGATGATATTCACACAAGAGGAGCAAGGGGGTTAAATGAGCCTTTATTAGAATGTTGTAGCAGTTGTATTGGAAGGCATCAGCCTCACAAAAGAAGGATTTTAAATTAAAGTCCCTAACTGCATCAATAGAAAAACTAGGGCTGGAGCGGAACAGGGTACCAAACTCCATACTTGTGGAGACACACGGGCATGTGCAGATATGAGACACCCTTGCAGTGGCATGAAGCCTTCAGACAGACGACAGCTTCTGCCTTTCCTCACTGAACCAATTTTTAAAGAGTGGGAAGGGAAAGAGAAACAAAAATAAAACTAAAAGCAGACCTGATCTTTTAAAAAACATTTCGGTAGACTCTAAAGGGAGTACAAAAAAAAAATTTTTTTTTGAACACAAACCCTGACAACAACCCCCAGTTTTAAGGAAAGATTCTAAACTAGACCCAAACGGAAATCCTAGCATCTGGGGGCAGCAGCTCACCACACACCTGGACTGTGCCTCCTGGACACACTGTGCATGCTCACCTGAGAGGAGCATGGCCAGAATAGCTTAAAATCGTGTCCATCAAGATGAATAGAAAAAAAAAAAAACTTTAATAAAATAAGCCACAACAAAAAAGAAACCCCATAACAGCCCATCCTTCCAACTTCTTGCTCAGACTTCTGGGCAGTGCCGCCAACTCCATTCTCTCTTCCCTCCTTTGTGGGCAGCTCGCTGCTTCCGGAATCCCTGGTTCTGTGGCTGGATCTGGTTTTCAGTTTGTTCTTCTGCTAAGTGAGGGAGGTCCGGGGGTTCACCTGAACGAGCAGCAACGGAGGTTTTCGGCTAGAGCCAGGGCTCTGTTGGCCATCCCTGCTTCCATAAGTCACTGGGGCAGACTGGCAGCCCCTGCTGCCATCAGGGACCCACCCTCTAGACCATGGGGCTAGTGGGACAACTCCGTGCACGACAGGGACCTTGGTGTCCGCACAGTTTACTTTTAACTCCATCATTATGAGGTGATTAAAAAAAAAAATCTTTCGACCTATAAATTGTCATGGAGAAAGGCAGTCAGAGATTGGGAGGCTAAGACAGGGAAAAGCAAAAACAAAAAACGCCCCACTTGGTTCAGAAGCCCTGGGCGCCAGCCTCGCCCGAGCTCATCACAGTGTCCAGGGTGAGCTGCCCGTGCACCTGCCAGGGGCCGAACAAGGGGGCCGGGAGCAGGACCAGCCCCCAATGTCCACGTTTTCTGCTGGTGTCGGGCAAACTAAAGGCAAAGAGAGAAAGGAAGATAGCCCATGGGAAAGGTCCCTCAGTCATGACCTTTGTCCACCTATGAGGCAGCTCCAGCTCCACCCCGTCCCCCAGCCATGCTGAGACTTTGCAGCCAGGAATCTGGGCCTGTCATCTGCAGTGTTCTCTGGTGCCAGCATGGTGTTTTTCCAAACAAGCAGAGGGTGGAGCAGCATGTACTTCTAGATTGGTGTGTACTTCTAGACCAGGGCCACGTGGGAAGGAGGAAGGAGCCTGTCCTCTGCTGGGCCTGACTCGCACTATTTCCACGTGGCTGACTGAGGGATGGAGCGAGGTGGGATCATGTCGAGGAGGTACTCTCGCTGGCGGTCCACAGCCGAAGAGGTCTTGTGCACTGCCAAGCTTGGGCTGACAAATGCTAGGGTCCCACCTGCAACAGAAGAGAGTGACAGGCCACAATGGGCCTGCCAGTCAGAGGAGGCCACTGGGAAGCTCCCAGTCACACCAGGCAAACAGGCATACACCCAGTACCCATGAACAGAATCACAGACCCTATACTATCATCAAGGACTTGAATCTGAGGCCACAGAGCCAATGAAAATTAAAAAATTAATTCCTCAATCACTCTGACACCATTCCTAAGCTGTGCCAAGGAAGAGCACAAATTCCAAGTGTGCGGTAAGAGAGATTCAGTCAGCCACCCATGTGCTTCAGAAATGAAGGTGCTGGCCACAGTGCTGTTTAGAACAGTGGAAAACCAGGCTACGTGTAGTAGCAGATGCCTGTAATCCTAGCACTTTGGGAGGCTGAGGGCAGTGGATGGCTTGATACCAGGAGTTAGAGATGAGCCTGGGCAACACAGAGGGACCCCATATCCACAAAAAAAATTTAAAAATTAGTTGTGCACGTGCCCACAGTCTCGGCTACTCGGCAGGGTGAGCCAGGAGGACCCCTTGAGCCCAGGACTTTGAGGCTAAAGTGAGCCATGATCAAGTCACTGCTTTGTAGCCTGGGTGACAGAGCAGAAATGTCTCTTCAGGGCAATGAAGTAGGATGGAATACTGTGCTGCCTCAAACTGGCGCCTCTTCTTCCTGTGGAGAAGCAAGCTGCAGGGAACTTGAAGGGGACATTTTGTACCCTCTACAAGAAGAGTACCCATCTCCTACAATCAGCCCATCCTGCCCACCTCTTTCTCATTTTTGGTGCATACAAGAAGTATTTATTTTGTCCTAATGTTAGCATTTAAATGAGAGGGGAAAAAAAAAAAAACAGGACAAGCAACCTTCGGGATGATACCAGTGACGGTGAAGCCTTAGCTGATTAAGAAGAGCCTCTTCAGGGCATTCATTTCCCCTGGCTGCTCCTCAAATGCTATCTCCTCTGGGAAGCTACATCCCTGCCTCAATTTCAGTCTAGACCTGGCCCCAGGGTCCCCACCATCCTTGTTCTTGTCTTGCCCTGCACTTGGCTGAAGGCATAGAGTGAGTTCCATCTGCCCCATATTTTGGATCAAAGGCCAAGAGCTTGGGTATAGAGCAGCAGTTCTCAACCTGTGGGTAGCGACCCATAGGAACTGTATTAAAGGGTGATGACATGAGGAAAGTTGAGGCCACTAGTATAGAGGGTGGCATTGCAGATGGTTAGTAACTGCTCAGGGCTGTCCCTTAGCAGGGTGTCCTTGTCTGGAACAAGAGAGAAGAGAGAAAGCCAAAGAGTCTGCAGTGGCTGCTCTTAGGAAGGGATTCTAGAGGACAGGTCTTAAATGTCCCTTATATGCTTATTCTGTGCATGCACTTCTTTGTTTAAAATAGTGGTTCTCAACCTTCGAATGCTACAACCCTTTAATACAGTTCCTCATGTTGTGGTGAACCCCAACCATAAAATTATTTTCGTTGCTACTTTGTAACCGTAATTTTGCTACTGTTATGAATCGTAATATAAATATCTAACATGCAGGATATATTTTCATTGTTCCAAATTGAACATAATTAAAGCATCGTGATTAATCAGAAAAACACTACATAATTATATATTGTGAAATATTTCTTTCTTTTCTTTCTTTTTTTTTTTTTAAGAGACAGAGTCTCACTTTATTGCCCTCAGTAGAGTGCCATGGAGTAACAGCTCACAGCAACCTCCGACTCCTGGGCTTAGGCCATTCTCTTGCCTCAGCCTCCCAATTAGTTGGGACTACAGGTGCCTGCCACAACACCTGGCTATTTGGTTTTTTGTTGTAGTCTGGCCGGGGCTGGGTTCAAACCCACCACCTTTGGTATCTGGGGCCAGCACTCTACCCACTGAGCCACAGGCACCACCTGAAATTTATTTCTAATTAAGAATAAATAAAGTTTTGTCTTGAAGCATGGTGTAGCCATGGGTAACAGTCTTAATATAACAACAGTAAACTACATTGCTACATTTTGTGACAGTATGCATAAAAAGTCAATGTCAGTGTGAAGGTTGAGATTGAAAAGCCAACATCAGTGCGAAGGTTGAGATTGCATCTTTCTCACCAGATCAGAAATTCTTGGGGCAGTCTTTGCAAGAGCACAACGAAGATCATCTTCCACAACAAGTCTACTTCTGTATTTAGACTTGATAACCAACAAGCTGGAAAACCCTGTTTCACAAAGATATGTTGTTGGAAATGGAAGAAGGCGGCGCAACACAGTCTCAGACAGAACAGGATATGACTGCAAACACTTGATCCAGAATTTTGTAACTGGCATTGTAGAGAAATCAGATCTCGCTGAATCACTGTTAATAAGCTCAATGAACTCCTCTTTGGCTGTCTCAGGAACATCTTCAACTTTGACTGTGAATGGGCTTCTGGCAAGTGCAAATGGAACGTCAGGTAGATTTGGAAAGTACGATGAAATTTCGTCTGCAAGTATGCGCAAGTGTTCTTTCACAGAAATTATCATCTTAATCCTTTTGTCTGGTTCAATGTCATGTTCCTCAAAGAAAGCAGATAAGGTAGGCAACATGTAAGTTTTATTTTCATCCAATTTTTTCTGCCAAAGATGGAGTTTCATTTGGAATGATCGGATCTTTTCAGACAAATTGAGGCATGTTGCATTTGGTCCTTGCAGTGATAAATTTAATTCACTCAAGATGGCAAAGATGTCAACCAAGTAAGCTATTTTCTGCAGGTCACTTTTATTGCTGAAAAGTGCTTCAAACTGTGGTCTTGCTTTCTGATTAAAAAACGTTTTGAGTTCATCACGAAGCTCAAAAACGCGTTTTAAAACTTTTCCTCTTGACAACCATCTCATTTCAGTGTGAAAGAGCAGAGCATTGTTCAGTGCATCCAACTCATTGCACAGTTGCGAAAACAGTCGATTGTTTAAAGTGCTCGCTTTTACAAAATTGACAGAACTTATGACGCTTTTCATTACTTCTTGTAACTCTTGTGGCAGCATCTTCATTGCTAGTATTTGCTGATGAATCATACAGTGAGTTCCAATGGCTTTTGGTGACTCATTTAGTACCAAATGTTGAAATCCAGACCGACATCCTAGCATAGCTGAAGCACCATCTGTGCAAACACCACAAACCTTTTCCCAAGAGATCTTATGCTCTTTCAGAAATGAACCAACTGTGTCAAATACATCACGTGCAGTACTTGTCGTTTCAAGAGGTTTGCAAAAAAGAAACTCATCTTTAAAGTCGCCATCATTAACATACCTCACATAAACCAGTAACTGAACAGTTTGCAACGTCTGTAAATTCATTAAGCTGTATACTAAATATTGGAAGTGGAGCAGATTTAATTTCCTGGATTACCTGATCAAGAATATCAGCAGACATGTCATCTATTCTTCTGCGGACAGTGTCATTAGATAAGGAAATTGCACTCAATTTTGTAATAAATTCGTCTCCGATCATAACTCGAACAATGTCTTCGGCTGTTGGTAACAGTAAATCCTCAGCAATGGTGTGAGGTTTCATAGCTCTGGCAATTCTGAGTGCCACCAAATATGAAGCTTCAACAGCTGCTATGTTTTGTTTGTGGTACTTGCCACCAGTGTCAAGTCTGACTTTCTTGAGTCCATCAGATTTGCTTCTAAAATAGTTGGTATCCTTGCCGGCAAAGCTCGGATGCTTGCTATCAAAATGGCGTTTTAGTTTGTTCAACTTCATAGATTCGGTTGATAGAACTTCACAACAAATAACACACTGAGGTTTCTCAATTCCTGCTGTAATTACTGAGGTAAAACCATACTGTAAAAAATCCTCACTATATTTTCTTTTCTTAACGTTCTTCTCTACACGATCCATTGTCATGAGATGGTTTGCTAATGAAAATAATATATAACAATAGCTTTAATAATACAAAAGATGATACATGGCATAGTTCAGTCAGTACAGCTCATTAAAGTTTCCTATGATTTACCATTCTCTGTTGTTTTTTTTCTTTTTTTACATACCTGTTACTATCACAAGGGGGCAGTATTCACATCAACCACAGCTGAATATAAAAAGACAGGTAGGCATCCAGATTAAGTTCCCATGGTACAGATATTTTCTTTTTTTGCAGTAGATAATTTTACAGTACATTATTTTACATTTACCCAGTAATTATAATTCATGAAGTGTCATTTTACCTCCAATACTGCTGCTTTCAACACAGCAGCTGCTCTCTACACATGTGTGACTGGTCTACATAAGTACATTATAGCGCCAACCCTGTCACATACACCCGTATTTGTACAGGGTGTACGTGATGGGGTTGGTGGATGATGTCATCACGCCAGGTACTAGTATGTGGGAGTATCTGCATGTGAGTGGACCTGCCTGGAGACGGATAGAGGAGCGGTGTCTCAGTTCCTAAGACCATTGGAAATATGACCCCTGTGAAAGGGTCATTCAACCCCCAAAGGGGTCACGACCCATAAGTTGAGAACCACTGGTTTAAAATGAGGGGAACCCAATGGAGGCCACCTACCTGTGCTGAGGGGTGTCTTCTTCCAGTTGGAGGTAGCGCTGCCCTTGCCAGCGCTCATAGCTCGCTCGGAATGTCTGCCTGTCCTGCTGACCAGGGCTGTGGCTGAGGCTGCATTCTGCAGTTTGGGTGACTGGCTGAATGTGTGTAGGACACCACGGGGCGTTATGGCAGAGCCCCGGGACAGCTGGCTGGAGGCCTGCAGTGAAGAGAGGGGGTGACGGCTCACACAGGGAAGAGGCAACAGTGGGGGAAACACTTCACACAGCCTCTCCTTGCTCTGGCTGACCTCTTCCCACCCACACAGGGTCCCTAAAGTCCAAAATCAGGAGACCAGGTAAGTTACACGGAAGGGGACAGGAGGAGATGAGGGGAGAGAAAGAAAAGAGAGAGATAGACAGACACAGCGTGACAGCTGGCAACTGGTGTGGTCATGGGCTGCGGTGGAGGCATGAGGCTCCCGGTGCCCACTGCGGTTCTGACCTGTAGCACGGCCCCGTTACTCCAGTCGCGGGCCTCTCCTGAGCGGAACGCCAACTTACGCCGAGGTTTTATGACCTACACAGATGGGGTTGAAATCCAGGTCAGCACCATCCACTGGCCAGGTGGACCAGGATGACTGGAGGTGAGCCCCACAGGACAGGCCTGTTCCCTGAGGGCTTCAGAAGCCAGATGGGGATCTTGAGAAAATGTGTTTAGTGAACTGCAAACAACTTCCAAGGGACAAAAATGCCAAAGGGAGCTTCAGGTCTACAGAGAATGAGGAGCTTAAAAACAAAAACAAAAAAACTATCAAAAAACTTGATTTTAAACTTGCTCCTCTCTTTAATTTAGCTAGACCATTTCTTCCAAACACCCCTTTGGTTATAGCAATGTGGCTTTTGGAAAAGTCCTTTCAGACAAGCAGTACTTATCAGCCAGTACACTGTGAGCGAAAGCTACAAAAGCTAAAGAAACTGCAAATTAGTGTTTTCGCTGTTCAAATGCCACCATTAAGTGCAATTTAGATGCGCAGTTAATAATCAGGCAGATGAATACCCCTGGGGTGGGGAGGGGACAGAACATCAGAACATCCTGCCTTCTAGGGACAGTGTGCTGCCAAAGAGACAGGCCCCCACTCACCTGCTTCAGTGCGGGATGTGGGGCTGCGGCAGGCTCAGCTTTGGCCTGTGAGGGGGCTGCGCCCTGCTGCAGGAGCCGCTGCTCAATTTCCTGCTCCTGCTGCAGCGCCTTCACAAAGGCAGCCTTCAGTCGGCTGGTGTGCTCCACCTTGAGTGCCTTCTTCTGGTTGGTCGTCATACAGTTTTCACACATGATAGCGCCACTCTTCTCCTCCCGCCAGCGGCACGTGAAGTCAGTCTTGCACTGGGCGCACATGTAGGGCTCCCTGGACAGCATGACAGCGGCCGACATCCTGCCTGCTGCAAGACAACACACAGGTGGCTCATATCCAAGGGACAGGGTGCCATAATCAGGGCCTCCAACTCCCCCTGCTCAGTCCATATGTGAGGCACAGAGCAGTGCCCTGGGCCAGACAGACACCAGGCCTCCATCCACAATTGTGTTCCAACTGTGTGTAGGACACAGTGCTGGCCAAGGCTGAACCACTCTGGAAAATGCTGTGGGTTGGGCATCACTGGCATCAACCTTTCGGTAGTTATTGATGCCAGTTTGGCTTCTTGCTTCCTGTTACACCAGCAATGCAATAACAGACTACACAGGAGGCAGGGACCACATCAGACCCCATCTCCCTGAGAGGGGCTCCCTCATTAACTGGATGAGTTAACACAGACAACCCAGTGACCACCTTGAAGTGCTTGATTCACTCTTCTGATGGAGAAGAGTGCAACCCTACCCCATGTCCTCAAAATGAAACTGAGGCTGAGAGACCAAGTGGCCAATCATGTGACCAGGCAGTGGCAGAGCACGACTTATACCCTGGCAGAGGCCCCAGGTCCCAGGCTGTCCCCACTGCCCAAGGTGAGCAGTATGCCTTGGTCCCATCGTCTGGGGGACAGAACTTGGTGTCTCCTCACCAGCCATGAAGCACATCTTGTATATGTATGTGTGTGTGTGTGTGTGTGTGTGTGTCCACAAGCCTGTGTGCATTTTGTATCTTCTACTTAGGAACTATAACTGCTCTTGGTCATTACAGACTGTGGCACAGGACTGGAGGACTGCAGGGCTGGAAGTTAAGACTCTCCACCTTCCCTCTCCCACCTGGCCTGGCCAGCTGAAGGTTCCTTCATCCCACAGGAGGATAGGATGTTACCTATCTAAGCCACTTGTGGCCAGGGTCCATCTCAGGTCCCTAGCTCCACGCCCTTGTCTATAGCTCACATGTCCTGGCGATAATAGTGTGTTTCCTTATACACATTCAACCACAAAGAAGGACATGGTACCTGCTTCCCAGGCATCCTTGGTCAATGTCATCAGCTTTGGAGCCCAGACACAGCACAAGCTGAGCTAAGCTGTCCAGCCTGGGAACTCTGGAAGGTGTCAAGAGACATGGTCCAGCAGGGCTCAGAGCCTCCTCCCACAATTTGGTCCTGTTTGGGTCTCCCACCCATACTTCCTACAGTAGCCTCTCGGCAGCTCTTCTGCAATATCACCTTGTCACAAAGGAGATACCAAAGGGATCCAGACACAAACCAAGTTGTGACTGAGACCTCACCTCTCCCATCGCACACCCCTCAGTCCCTCTTGCAGCCTGAAAAAGGTAGAGGCCATGGTTAACTGTCTTGCAGAGGATGACACCAGGTTTCTCAGGGGCTGGTGCACAGTTAGTCCTCAGTATCACCTGGTCCAGGAGTCTTACCAAGGTGACTTGGCGGGGGGGTGGCTTTAAGAAAATTCAATGTAGCTACTGGGTACTCACCACCTCACCACTCTGGAGCTTCCACTGAGTCTGGGGGGAGCTCTGCCTCTTGGCAGCCTCAAGTATAAATTACACAGGGGAGCCCACCTATGTACCACTTGAGTGAATGGGGAGTGGCCTCTACCAATACCCTAACATTGGAGAGACCTGGTGGGTAGGCAGAGCTCTTCTCCCAGCCATGCTCCCATCCTCACCCCCAATCCTGGATGATAGGTGGGTAACAGGTGCTTTCTTTCTTTTCCTCTGCACATCTCACCACCACCGCTCTGTGATCTGTGCTAGGAGGAGTCTGAGGCTTCCTAGGCCCCTCCCTTGGCCTAGGCCAGTCCTGATTCTGCCTCTCCTCAGCTCTGTGTGTCTGATGCAATCACCAGGGAAATGGTTCTGGTTTGCTGCCCACACGTCACCACCAACTGAATCTTAGGACAGAAAGGTCCTCAGTCTCTGTGTTTGGGAAGCAGTGGCTCCCTGGGGGTCAACTCAGCTGCCCACGTGACTGTCTACAATGTTGTTTTTAATCATTACCCTGCAGATGTCCCTTTATTCCTACAATATCCTAGGACACAGGCTACTTTTCATAATGCTGCCTTCAAAGAGGGTGATGAAGTGAGCCTACCCTAGGCAGAGGAGTCATGCTCTCTCTTGGGAGGTTTAGAGCATTTGAGACCCTGGAAAGTTCCAGCCATGTGTGACCATACTATTATGCCCACCCAAGTGCCTTTCCTGGAGGCCAAGCCTGACCTAGCCTCCCACAGATGTCCACCTTCACTGAACAACATCACAGGGCTACTGCTGCCCAACCCCTGGACCAGGAACCTCTTCCGGCCTGGCTCCCAGAGGCCCCAGCAGGAGGAAGACTCTGTAAATGTCACAGTGGAACTAATGACCAGATGCTGTGTACAGTACCCACCCAGCAAAGTTCTAGGTACAGAGTAGACACTAGATTGCTGAACAGTGAAAAGAACCCATGGACTGAAGCTTTGGTGGCAAGAGATGAGAATGGCCCAGCCTGGCCTGCTCACCTTGAGTCTCCAGTAGGTTCTGTACTACCTCCTCCAGGCCGACCAGGTAGATGAACTCATTGTTGGCAGCACTAGGCAGGAAATTCATCTCTGGGGCAGGAGGCTTGGGAGGGGGAATCTCAAGCAGCGTCTTTTCCAATTGTTTGCGCAGTGCAAGCTTGGCAGCTGCCTGTCGGCTAGCTGGAGACTCAGCAGAGGTGACTGTGGAGGCCACGCTGGTAGGGGTGGAGTTAGCCTGAGCAGAGGTGGCTGTAGATCCCTTCAGCGATGTTGGGGTGGGCTTTAGAAAAACAAAACAAAGACAGGGTTAGGGTTGGGGTGGGCTTTAGGAAAACAAAACAAAGACAGGGTTAGGGTACTGGGTGTGCCCATCCCGAAAGCAGACTCCACGAGTGCACTCAGAGCCCATTGTCCCAGTTAGCTACATTAACTAACAAGTCCTTACAGGGGTAAATCCAAATTGTCTGACCTAGAAATCAGGGGGCAGCAGAGAAGGTTGTGTGGCATGAATCATCCTAGAGGAGGGGACTGGCTGTCTGAGCACTCACTGTGGTTTAGGAGATGCCCCATAAACCACACACATTTAGGCTCGGCGCCTATGGCTCAACCGGCTAAGGCGCCAGCCACGTACACCTAAGGTGGCGGGTTCGAATCCCCAGCCCGGACCCGCCAAACAACGATGGCTGCAACCGAAAA